ATTTGTTACACGTATTCCTTCCAATATTTCATCAAAACATGCTCAACAAAAAGTTTGTACGTATAGAAGAAAAGTACGTAGCAACTTTACGTACCACCTACGCAACCTTACGAAGTTTACAGGCAGATACCGCACCTTACCTTACAATGGAACACGTCCGTTATACACGCAGGACATTATGCAACAGACGTAGTATCAGTCAAATTTTATATAGCAAAAAAAGCAACCATTGTGCGCAAAGATATTTCAACGTCCTTCTTTTTAGTATTTAATGTATAAATCGATCATACGTGCATGCATGCATGCATGCATACACATATGCATGTGTCATCTTTATTGTGCAGAAGTGGAATGGCTATTTGCAATAAGCGATGAATGCATGCATATGGAAGTATGTCTCATAAATTATGTCTCATAATTATTATTCACTCTATGATAATTGTGAATATCTCTTGCATTCCATTATGCGTCCATTCATGCATTACTTCATTGCACACACACACACACACACAAAATATGAATTGTTGCTTGTATGCATACTTGCATGCATATGCATGCATGCACGTATTGCAAGATGACATTTTGTAACAACTACATTTCTTAATTAAGAATCAATTATATGCATGATAACTGCAGATTCATTGCATGACAATTTTACTTCATTTCAAATTATCATTAATGTACATTCAATTATTTGAATGAGTCATTTTAAGTATATGTATGTGTCATTTAAGTTAGAGTGATATTGATGAAAAAATTTTCATTTATCGAATTTTTTAATTTTAGAAATAACAAAGAGAAGAAAAAAAATGAGAGAAAAGACTGAAAATGTTGTTATTCATTTATAGATTTTAAGATAAGTGTGAGAAATTTTATATTTTGCACTATATTCAATCGAAATTAGCTCATATTTTTTAACCAATTCTTTCTTTTCCCTTTTTTTTTTCATTTTTTATTTCATAATAAAACTAAAAGGATCTTTAACAGTTTTTCTCATCTCTCTCTCTCTCTCTCTCTCTCTCTCTCTCTCCCTCCCTCTTCTCTCTTTCTGTAAAATAAATTCATTCGTGTTCTTATTCCTTTTCTTCTAACATTTTATTGCGAAAATTCCACAAATGACTAATCGACAAACAATTAAAGAAGTTCATTAAAATTCAATGAAATTGAGCGAACTACAGATGGGAAACAGAAAGAAGGGAGAGAGAGAGAGAGAGAGAGAGAGAGGGAGAGAGAGAGAAAACAATAATTGATTCGATTTCAAAAATTTTGTACAGTAAAGGAGAAATCATTCAGTAACATTCCTGAAACATTGAAATGATGTGCAAAGAAGGAATAAATCCATTTTCACTTGCACTTTTGTTGTACAGAATTAACAAGGAAAAGAAATAAATGAATGAAATTAGGACATGATTTGAATGAAATTAAAGAAGTAAATATTGTTACTGAAAATGAAATAAAATTATAATTAATTTGAAAACAATTATATGCGCCAATTTCAATTTGCAACTTATTTAACTAATTTCAAGTTATGCTAATGTTGCTAGCATTTCATTACTTTTAACATCTGTTCAGTATTATTAAGAAAGGACAATTGCAAATGATAATTATAAATTTCCCATCAAATCTCGAAAAACTGGAAAAGTTGTTGTTGTTGGGAAGAACTGCTTGCTTTTAATTACTCTAATATCATTGAGTAAGAAGAGAAAATAATAGATATTTTGAATGAGAATAAATATTTAATGGGAGATTTATTATTCCGGTAATATTTCATTAATTCTTCGTTCTACATCGATAACGAAAGGAGAGCAATGAACGAAGAAGAGTGAAATGAAATGACGACAGGATTGTCAACCGTACGCATTACTCTAACAAGAAATGTCATCTGTAACAAGCATGTTCACGTCTTTTTGGCTCTTTGATTACTCAACCAATTACGATATAATTCCGGAAGAAATAAATTAAAACCGTTTCACGGCTATTAATTTATTTTTACTCGTGAATTCTTAATTTCATACATATAATATTACAAAGTGTTTCCTTTCTTTCTCTCCTCGAATTCTCCCAGAAAATCTTTGATCAGTCATCGATATTCTTTGAAGAGAAGAGAGAGATATAGCATTTCTTTACATCGATTGGTCCCTTCACTTTTTTTCCTCCTAAATTATGTGTCCGCTTGACCTCTCCCAGCATAGCACTCTGACCTTTTCAGACCTATATGAAAGGTTATGGATAGAGAGTGTGCGTGAAAATAGGTGAAAGTGATGGACGGACAGACACAGTCCAATCTATTCGTTGAGAAATCAAGAGAAATTGTGAAATTAGACGAACAGAGAAATAATATCCATACAGTTTTACAATGGCAGACAGAGAGACGGATAGACACACATGCACGAGATAAAATCAAAGTAGTGGAGAGACATGTGGGCAGAGTTCAAAGTAACATATGGATGGACATACGCACACATAGAGAAAGTGTGGGACAGACGTACGCACGTATAAAGAAAGTGTCGGACAGACGTACGCACGTATAAAGAAAGCGTCGGACAGACGTACACACGTATAAAGAAAGTGTCGGACAGACGTACGCACGTATAAGGAAAATGTCGGACAAACGTACGCACGTATAAGGAAAGTGTCGGACAGACGTACGCACGGAAGGGGAAAGTAGTGAACAGACGTATGCGCACATGCAGGGAAGTGACGGACAGACAGACGCATACATACGGAAAAGTAATAGGCAGTAAAGTGAGAAATTTTGAAAGACAACTTCAAACAGCAAAATCACTTAGTTGAAGTGTAATGAAAGCAACACGTGGCTTATCGCGTGCGTGTCATTGTGGTGCAGCCGAGCGACAGTATTATGTGGTGACGCAATCACGTCCAAAATACGTACAAGTAGTATTTGTCAGTTTGTGATTCGCTGCACTGCTGCACCTTGGCAAGCATCCAGAGTGCAGTTCTGCAGCAGAGATGGGGCGGTGCATCGCGATGCAGCGCAAGCGACAGCTCAGTATAAAAGGCAACGCGGAAAGAGACCGTCGAGCGAGTTCTCTTTTATCCCTTCTCTCTGCCGCCGCTCCTAGCCGTTTCGTTGAGTTGTGCTGAGTGGTGACTGTTGCAGCACTCTATGCTTGACGACGCCTATGCTGCGTCCCAACACGACGCAACTCTTGTTGGCAGGTTGCCAGAGTGCAGAGTTAGTAGTTTATAAAGTGTGGTTAGTGGTGCAGTGGTAGTTTGTTTTTCTTGTCTGAAGAAGAAACGTGGACTGTCACGTAAGTCTCGGAAGTACACCAAAATATGACACGCAAGACGTAACGATGTTGAAAAGAAGACAAATGAAGGTGGAAAATGATGTGCGATTTGGTGGAGAATTAATTGAACATGCTGAATTTCTCTTTGTCATTCAACGACTATTCAAGGTGATCAAAATAACAAAGCAGATAGGAAATTCTCCGCAAGAAGAATTGATTGATTGAAAGCAAGTGGAGATGGAAAGCTTCTCAATTGTTCATTACCATTCATTATATAAAATTTCATTCATGAGATAACGTTGAATAAAGAAAAAGAGAGGAAGAGAGAGAGGCAGGCGGAAGAATAAGAGATTGCTGCAAAAGTGATGTAAACAATTTGAAAAAGGAGGTGAAGGAGATGTGGGATATTGTCACTGGCCAACAAATAATTAACGTAGTTTACGTCAAAAGGTGTGACCTCAGAGATTGCAGTGTAGCCAGAGGATTAAGAATGATACATTTGCAGTGTGAAGGAGTGACAATAGTCGATGTGATTAAGGACGAAGTGTTACCTTTCTCGAAGAAGACAAGAAGAAAGGCTCGTTTTGTAGTTATTTGAAGTGAAATAGTATGTAGTTTTGGTATCATTCATTTCATACATATATGTATAATATACTTTGATAGTTTCGTGGAATAATTTGGAAACAAAAATCCGATGCTAAATTTATTTTGTATTTTAAAACTAAACATAACGATATTAGGAAGCGAGAGAGAAGGGAGAAAGAGAAGAGATATATGTTGCGGGAAAAAAAAAAAGAATCAACATTTAGATGAAATTCATATACAATTGTTTATAAATTCTGTGAAATGCCAATCTTTTTTTTCCCCTATTTTGAGTATAACTTTTAACATTTGGAACAATTTCAAATTTCTAGAAATTTGCATATCAAAAAAAAAAAAGAAGAGAACCCTTAAAAAGAATAGAAATGAATACTGAGAAGTGCATACATCTGAATGAACGATTATCGATTAGCACTACCCGCACTTCTCCTCATTCTCACACTCTCCCAGTGATGGAAATGAGGGAACTGTCTGTCTTCTGATTTCAGATTGTTTTGTTAACAATAGCTATTCTAATTTATACATATCATTATGCTGTTTAGCTAGGTAATATATATGTTTATATTGAAGTTTCATGGATTTTTTTTTTTAAATTTAAAACTTAATTACTTAAATTTGTATGATAGTTTAAATTACATTCATATTTCAACTTCATTTACTATTGTTGTTAGTCTAAAGGTGTGCAGGAAGATGTGAAAAGCTAAATAAACATTTTGATAAGATTTAAGTTGGAAAAAATTTTAAATCGAAATTTTGAATCTTAAATTGATTTCTTGTGATATTTCACTCTATTTATTTACTATAGCATTTTCTGGTAGGATTAGTCTATTTAAGCCAATCTCTTGTTACTTTTTTCGAGTTTCAATTCTATTTCTATTTTCGGTTTTCTTTTGTGTTATATCAGATTTGTTTGTTTCTCGAAAAAGTTTTCAAATTTAACAATTTGTGATATTTCGAATATTTTTTTTTAAAAAATTGTGAATGAATACTCTTCATATTTTTGTAATCTACTAATTAGTGAGAATGAAGTATGAAAATTGGTTTATTAGCTTGTTAAGCATAAATGATATACGACTGTCATATTATTAGACATAAATAGATGGAGTATTATACATACATATGGATAAGTATATAACCATGTAAGGCATGTTAAGCGCTGATGACACTTGGCGGAAGATTTTAAATATTTGCAATGGATTTCAAGATTTTACTTTATTTCTAGGATTCACATACGAATGGATGACCTGTTATCTACTAGATATACGTTATTGCTTTAGTGTATCATTTCTTACACTTGATAAAATGTCAGGGTTAATAATATATGAGTTGATTAGTAAGTCCATATAGTAAGAGCTGATTATCTTTTGCCTAATCAAATCTTATCATAATTGTAGTATCGGCCTCGTATCCAAGATTATTTTTGTTTTAATTTTGGAGAGATTTCAAATATTTGCAGTGGATTCCAAGTTTTTACTTTATTTATAGGGTTCACATACGAATGGATGATCTGTTATCGGCAGCAATATGTGAAGCTGGTTTAGAAGAATTCTTGTTGGCACCGGAAATCATTGATAGTGAAGTTGAGAAGTCAGGAAATGATATATTAACACGGCCACTCAATACCAGTGATCAGGCAAACGATTTGACAGGATTTTCATTAGGGAAAGCCGAACCAGAAGATAAGAAGCAAAATATAGAAATATTAAGCGATGGTTGTTTAATCCTTCCTTCATGTTCACATACGGATTCTGAAAGTAATTCTCGTCCGGATACACCGCGCGCTGATGATCCCTCAAATAACAGCACCGAAAATACAGCCATTCATCAACAGTCAGTTGAAATCGTTGGAACGGCCGAATTACCGAGTGATTTAAGTATTGACGATGGTAAACGGACGACAGTAAACGAACAACATGAAAATACTGGCAAGTTGCCGGATGGTGGAAACAATATTTTCCGTTCACAACGTTCAGTTACCTCATCGCAACAACCATTACAGCCGAACAATTTAACGGTAAGCTGATAAAATACTTCACTATTATTATGGGCATGAACGAGATATTTATGATGGGACAGCTCCTGCTGTTATCAGTCTAGTTTCCAAAGTTTTGTTTTAAAAAAGAAGGAACTGGATCTGAATAGTATCACATGGTTTCAAGTTCTGAGTATTTTTCAGTCAGTCAGAAACTCTGTAACAGCACGGTCGACAGTGAAAGTACGTGAAATGTGCAAAGCTACCAATGGAGCTGACGATGATAATGATGTTGAAATTATCGGGGAAGCATCGTGCATGAGTGGTACATCTTGGAACTTACCACGTCGCGTGATAGTTATGCAGCAACGTCCCAAAAATGGTTTAGATTCTATTTAAAGTTAGAAGAAAATGAAACGAGTTCCACTCCTCTTTGTACTATTCTACTAGATTACAATTCCTTTGCATAGGTGTCGTTTACGTACGTCAGCGTAACTGGGATATCATGCCACGGCGTATTCCTACTACACGTGCAGTTTTAAGTCGAAACTGTAACGGAACATTTGCCCTTCGTGGTAGTCGTATAATCCGGCCAGTTTTTCGGTCAGATCGATCAACACCTGTTTTCTTGCAAAGGTAACATTTTGCTGATGTAGAAAATAATTTTGGAAATGCAAAATTACTGTTTATTTTTAGTTCTTGTTTTTAGTTTCCGAAAATTTTCGGATTCTAACCAAATCTGATTTATCAGAACTTTTCATTAATTATTTTTTTTTTTTTTTTTTCTACAGGAGCAATACACCATCAGCATGCATTGAGAGAGATCCAGTGAACGTTTTGCAAGAGACAGGACATCAGTATTTGCCTTCAGCAGTATTACAATCGAATATCACATCTTCAAATGCTCAAGCAAGGATTATACGGAATTCAGTTTTACGCCGAACATCTCCAGTGACTGTGCAAGGTCCTCATTCCACTGTAACAACAAACCGTGTGTTACCGAACTTGCAAAGAGCTCGAAGTCATTTAACCGGTTCTATTGCTAGTATGAAACCAATCTTATCCAACACATCAGGAAATAATAATGAAAAACGACAGCTCGATGCAACCGGTCGGATACGTATGCTTGGAAATTCGGTTGAACCACGGCTACCTGTAGGTGAAGTTTTGCGACGTATTCGGATGAGTGAACGAAAGACGCCACATACCGATGAGTATCATGGTAGCGGGGCATCAAAAGACGAAGTGTTCTTTGATAATTCAAGCACTATGGAACGCAAACTGCTGGACCAGAAAGAAAAAAAATCCGTAAGGAATGAGATGGAAACGGCCCTACAGTGCCGTCTTACTCAAAATGAACAGGAGATTGATGATGAGGTTTAGCCTTTATTTGTCTTATTTCTTTGCAGTTGTCATACTCGGAATTTTTGTTTGTTGTTATATTTTTGACATCTTGAAAAATTGCGGATTTCTTATGAAAATTTGAAATTAGTGTAGTATAAATCTAAATTTTATGTCATTTTGACTTTATATCCAAAGTCGAAAAACCGTGTTTCACATGTTAAATTGTTTGCTGGCAAAGATTAGACATACTGATTCTTCAACAATGACTAGTAGTTTGACAACCGATGTAATATGTCTGGTTTCCATGAGAGTACTCAATGGATGGTTTGATTTTTTTTTGCTTGCCTAAACTGAAATACTGATACAGTTTTGTGAACGTCATCATATAATTCCAGTCAATGATTGCATCGTATGACTTCATTGTTTATATCGTTGATTCATCCTTTCTCAATAGGTTTTAGGAAGAGAATTTGGGCTATGCGGAAACGTATGCAGATTATCGTCCAACGAAACTTCGTTCCGGCTTGTCGCATCCGGACAGTGTTATTGAAACTGCATCGTTGAGTAGTGTTGCGCCACCAGATATACGTTATAATTTAACTGTCCCGGAAGAGGTTTATTTGTTTGTTTGTTTGTTTTTTAACTTCTAGAATATATAATATTTTTGTGAAGATCTTTTGCCAAAAATATAACTTTTCATCCCTCAAATCAAACCTAGGAAATAGCTGAAATTGATCCAAACATTCATATTCCAGTTCTTTTCTTCTGTTTCTTTTTTTTAATGACTTATGTTTCAGATCATTGATACAGGCGCGATTTCAGCTGTACAGTTGGAAGCAGTTGTATATGCTTGTCAAGCGCATGAGATGCGCCTTCCATCGAATGAACGCGCTGGCTATTTGATTGGTAAGACCTTCAGTTATTTGAAATACGTGGTTGCTCGATTCTCTATTGTCGATATTGTTTTTTCTCACCGTTTTATTTCTATTTTAAAGTTCTGCTATTATAGTTTTGTCAGGTACAATTGTGCCAATTTTTTCATGTCTTGGGCAAGTTTATATGTATCTGTTGCCTCAAATTCAAACTAATCTTACATTGTTCCGTTTCATTTTCGGTTTTTTCTTTAACAGCATTGTTGTATTCTTGAGCAGTGATCTGCATAATTGGATATTACATTACAAAATTTTCTCGATTTCATAGGTGATGGAGCTGGTGTGGGTAAAGGAAGAACGATTGCTTGCATCATTTTTGAAAATTATTTATTAGGACGGAAACGATCAATCTGGTAAAATTTCTTTGTTTTCATTTGGAAATTAAATGTTTTTTTAAGTAAAGGAACTTTGAAACTTTTAACATTTGTTGTTACTTTGACTTATCATACCGTTATCTACTGTTAACTACTTTTGTTTGAAGTCTAATGCTACGTTTTCAATTAATTTTAAGTCGCGACATATCGGTGATTAAATTCCTGATGAACATCCAATAACTTTAATAAAACCTTAATTGTGTCAAATATGTCGGTTGGAGAAAGGAAACGTTTTTGGTTTTTCTGATTTGGAAAATGATATTTTGTAGGCTCAGTGTTTCGGCTGATTTGCGATACGATGCCGAACGAGATTTGAGAGATATTGGTGCAAAAAACATCAAGGTTTATACTTGAATTGTCCTTTCATTTTGTAAACTGTCGGTTAAAATTGTGATATGTATATTATGTCGTGCAGTAATCAATAAACATTCTTTGTTTTGTTATACTAAGGTATTATAAATATTTTGGCATTAAACACAGCATTCATGATTTTTAGGTTTACGCATTAAATAAATTCAAATATTCCAAAATTGGTGGAAAAGAAAATGATGTTAAGAAAGGTTGCATTTTTGCTACGTATTCATCACTCATTGGTGAATGTCGTTCAGCAAAAGGTAAATACCGAACAAGGCTTAAACAGCTGATCCAATGGTTTGGTCAGGTTGGTTTTTAGTTTCATCCTAATGTCTGTTGATGTAAATTCAGGCATAAAAATGATAATTTAGTGTGTCTCGGGCTGAATATTTTCATACAGGCCTTTAATATTTCTTTTTAAGCTCTTGACGCTTTTAAGCTCTATTGTACTACAAGACGGTGCTCTGATACTTTTAGCTTAGAAATACTAGGACCTTAGAGCATTATCTGATTCCATAATATAAAGTGTAGTTTTTTACGCTAAGTCATGTAATACATCTCTGTGAGAGAATATATGATAGTATCATGAATCCCCTTTTAACTATTTGTTGATGTTTAAAATGTTAGTCAGAATTTATCAGTTTTTGTTATGTTTCTTCTTTACATTTATCACTTTTTTTATTTCTGGTATGTTATATTTCTTTCTTGTGTGTTAAAAAACTCAAACTTCTTGCATACTTTCTCTATCATCGCCAATAATTTAAATTTAAAGGGGCTGTAGTTTACTAAATTACAAAATTGTTGAAGAAACATTGAGCAGAATTACAAATATTCTTATACTACATTGCCTTGATTGTAGGATTACGATGGTGTTATTGTGCTTGATGAGTGTCATCGTGCGAAGAATTTGGTTCCAACATCCGGTTCAAAACCAACGAAAACTGGCCGAAGTGTTATGGAACTGCAAAAAGCTTTGCCAAACGCCCGAATTGTTTATGCTTCAGCAACTGGTGCAACAGGTATAAATTGTTCATCGAATTCAAATATATGTTACTATCGATTATATAACGAGCGCATTGATTTTCATGAAACTTTCATGAAACAACGACCTACCACTGGTTAATCCAATTTATGGGATATCAGTACAATGCAAGATGTTTTGTGGAATTATTATTTTCAGAACCTCGAAATATGGCATATATGACACGTATAGGCTTGTGGGGACAGGGACAAGCATTTCGAGAATTTAGTGATTTCATTAATGCTGTAGAAAAACGAGGCGTTGGAGCTATGGAAGTAGTTGCAATGGATATGAAGGTTTCTGTGTAACATATTTAACCAATGCTGCTTTCCATTTTTTATGAAAAATCTTCCAATTAGTCTTTGATCTTTGAATTTGTTAAAAGTTAGAGTTTTTAGCAGCGTGGCCTTTATCTGGCGCGACAGCTTTCTTTCCGTGGTGTGAGCTTTCGGGTTGAAGAAGTGCCACTGTCGGCAGATTTCGTCGAAGTTTATGACGCATCGGTTAAAATATGGCTTGAATGTCGACGACAGTTCCAGGTCCATTATAATTTGACGCATGTTTGTTTGATTAGCAGTCGTACATTAATTGAAGAAAAGTAAGGTATGAGTAAACGCTCTAAATCATGTTCAAATCCCACTAATATTGTGAGCAATGTAAGATGACAAAAGAAAATTTCTTGCAGGCAGCTCTTACTCGTCATTGTATTGGTCGAACGCAAGTGAAACTGATTTGGGGACAGTTTTGGGCTGCACATCAACGATTTTTCAAGTACATCTGTATTGGTGCAAAGGTACATTATAACATATTTTTGTACGAAAAAAAATTTGGAATAATTTTTGTACTATGGATATTAATTAAACAGCGTTATATTTACTGCTGCTTTTCTGTACCAGTTGATGAAAGTAGGTGTTTAGAAAACTTTTCAGAGTAGAAAGGGATGATAGGATTAAAAATATAGGACTAAAATATCCAAACTTTGTTTAGGTAAAATCATGTGTCAAGATAGTGCGTGATGCAATAAAAGCCAATAAGTGCGTTGTGATTGGTTTACAAACTACTGGTGAGTCGAAAACACTGGAAGCACTTGACGATGCCGGTGGCGAATTGAATGAATTCGTATCCACTGCCAAGTTTGTATTTAACGAAGTTTGGTGAAACTGCTTGAAAAACATAACATAATCAAGGTTAAATGAAATGACATTGGTGCTTATAAGGATGATTATATCCCGTACATATTCATACGCATTAAATTGAAAATTTTATGAAGAACGATAATTTAGAGCAGTATTGGCGAGGCTTATAGAAAAACATTTCCCAACGGAAAATACGAATTCTTCAGCGGATGTATATACCAATTTCGACAAAATGTGCAATGAATTAGATCGTCCAGTCAAACGCAAATGTGCGTTTAGTAGAATGTTATATGTTGCAAAAAGTGAATTATTTGCAACGGCTGATGACTATGATCTAGTATTACGTTGCAGTGTTCCTGATTAAATCAGTCGCTGTTTTGGTATTTGACTTGGGCTATATGCTAGGTTATAAATGCCTAGCATCACATATCACATGGTGATGTTTGATCAGCAAAAGAAAGTTGAAATTGTTTATCTCTGCTATAGACAAAAAATGAACAGCTTGCTGAAATATGATTTGAGAACCACCAAAAAATATGTTTTATGTCTTGTTTCAGTAGACAGATTGGGGTCTGTGAGTTTGACAACCTTTGCTTCATCTGCAAAACGGATGAGACAAAATTCGATTACGGCAGAACAAACAAGTGAAGAGGAACAGTCTGATTCGGATGGTACGGAGTCATCAACACGCGATGATAGTTCGCAATCAACGGAAGAGGAAGATGAATCATCGAGTGAAGAAGGAGAACGTATGTTTTATTTTTTGAAAGTGATGTAAAATAGTGCTGCACTAATTTAATGACAACTTGAATTGCATTTCATTGGAAAACAAATTGGTATTTCTGATTGTTAACATTGAGAATATATATTTTATCATTGTGGAAGTCAAAAGCAGTTTGCGCAGTAAGTAAAAATTATGGAAAAGGTACAAGTATTACGATTGTTATGATGTTAATGCTGTTTGGTGAAACGTGTCGTACATACAATGCTTGAAATGCTAAATTTCGTTTTATATTTTAGTACTCTATAATATCTAGATAGTACAACTTACTGAGATACAAAATATGTTATAGAAGTTCATTATATTATTTGTAGTTTTTTATTTAATGAGATGCTCTGTCTAAATTGATGCGGCGAGTGCATATGAAAAAGAACCAAAAGCAGTATTATCATCTACGTCAAATATTGTTGTTCTGAATTTTTTTTTTTTGCTTTTGTCAATCAAACTAGTGAGATCACCACTTTTACTTTTATGTCCTTATGAATGAATGGAGTAGTCAGAAAATAACCAGCGGAAAAAAAATCAAATTGCTGACTTGTCGAATGGTTCGATTCATTATTTATGTTTCCAATTTAGCATCAAATGGAGCCATCCAAGGTGATGAAGATACCTGGTTACAAAGATTATTGGATGAAGCAAAAAGTTCAGATGAGGAAGCAGCTGAAGAAAAAAGTGGCAGTGAAAAGGAGAAGGGAGGCAGTGACGAGGAAGAATTGAATCCATTTACTTGTGATTTTACTAGAGGTACAATTTCAAAATTTTTTGAGCAATTAATTTTCAGCGTATATAGAAATAAAAAATAAATTTTGTTATATTTCTAGAAGATCCATGGGCAGCAAAGCAGCAGGTTATTTCGGACTCACCAAAGAAGAAGAAAGTTAAGAAAAAGAAGATCAAAAAGAAGCAAAAAAAATCTACTAGTAAGATCGATTCTACAGCGATGGTAGGATGATTCTCTTTTATAGTATAATATAGTGTATGAAGTGAAATTTGGTTTGATGAATAATGTAAAAATAATTTTTACCTTAATTGTATCCAGTGTTGCTAGATATGATAACTGATCAGCAGATGAATTAAGTGGAATTAGTGTGGCTGCAATATTTCGAGTTTTCTAAATAGATTTACCGCATCTTTGATTAGTATGCAGTTAAAACCAGCAATGATTGAATTGGTCATTTATTTGTCATGTTATAATAGGTTGGAAAATGATGTTATGAGATCGAGATAGCTTCTTACCGCAAAAAATGAATTCATTGCAGCATAGTACTGCCGATGTTTTCATATCATCTTCACGTCTGGTAAGTGATGAGGATCTTACGCTTGGTGAAACTTCACTAATCAAAGCTGAACTGCTGGCTGCTGTAGAGCGTCTAAGCCCTCGATTGCCACCAAATACGCTTGATCAGTTGATTGATGAATTGGGTGGTCCTAATTATGTCGCTGAGGTTTGTTTTTGTTCTGATTCAAAAATATTGAAAATTTTGATTCTCTGAAGATACTAATTTAACATCTTCAGATGACTGGTCGTAAAGGTCGTGTTGTATGCCGTGAAGATGGTGATGTTGAATATGAACTTCGACATGCTGGAGCAGATGTACCGCTTGAATTAATGAATATGGATGAAAAAGATAAATTTATGAAGGGCGAAAAATTAGTTGCTGTAATTTCAGAGGCAGCATCTTCCGGCATATCATTACAGGCTAGTTTTTATCTTTTTTTTTTTTGAAATTGACTCTATTTATGTATTGAAAATTTAATGCCTTGGATAAGCCAACAGTTTGTTTTTAGTCGGATCGAAGAGCTACAAACCGTCGACGTCGCGTACATATCACGTTGGAATTACCTTGGTCAGCCGATAAAGCTATTCAACAATTTGGTAATTTATGTGTTTTATTATTCAGTTAATAATGCATTTTGGAAGAGGGAAAGTTTAAGGAACTAAATTGATGTTTTAGGGCGTACACATCGTTCAAATCAAGTGAGTGCGCCGGAATACATATTCTTGATATCCGAACTGGCTGGTGAAAAAAGGTAATTCAGCATAGCTTATGTCATGAATCGCAGCTTTTCCTGTCTCATTTTTTAAAGTCATGAAACCGGCTTTTTCACTGAAGACTGCTAAACATGCTTTAATGATGACAAGTTATTAAAGTCATATCAAAGTACTAAAAACATTCTTCTAAATTTTTTGCTATGTGGAAGTTACTGTATTATGTTTTATACAGGTTTGCATCAATAGTTGCTAAACGACTTGAATCTCTCGGAGCATTAACGCATGGTGACCGTCGTGCGACAGAATCACGTGATTTGAGTCAGTTTAATTTGGATACGAGATATGGTCGAGCTGCCTTAGACGTACTGCTGCGAACGGTTACTGGATTGCTCGATCCTCCACTTATACCACCACCAAAGGATTATAAACCTGGAAACTTCATCATTGGTAAATATTTCTTGCTTCAATCTGAAAATATATAAACACATAAGTCACCTGATCTATGCAGCGTATATTTTTGGTACTTATTGACATTTCAAGGTTTTTCTGTCTTACGAAATTTGCTATAAAAATTTGAATTTTTAAAGATATGCAGTGTTATATGGAGGGTGTTGGTTTATTATCACTGGATAATGGTGTTTATACAATTGAAAAAGAATCTGCAACTATACCAAAGTTTCTAAATCGTCTTCTTGGCTTACCAGTACATGCACAGAACGCACTTTTCCAATATTTTTCTGATATCGTTGCTGAATTGGTTGCACAAGCGAAACATGATGGAACTTATGATATGGGTATTATGGGTAAGCTAAACTTTTGCTTTTCTATGAATTTAATTGGACTGTTTGAGGATTTTATTAGTACTACATTAATGTTGTGTTTACTTTTATTGTTCAGTTATTGAGTGATGTTTTAGATCTTGGAATGGGTGGGGATGAGGCACGCAAGTTAGAAACTCGTGTATTCATGGGACGCTATGAAAGTGGTTTCTTCCGAGTTGAGATTCACAAAATTGGTGTGGAACGTGGTGTGAGTTGGGAAGATGCTTATGCAATTTGGAAGGATCATCACGAAGACCAGGTAAAGTTAAGCCCATTTCAACTTATAAAAATCTTCATTGCTTGAAAACCAGTAGTTAATAGATATGTTCGAGTTGTTAGCTAGCAGTTTATTTTTTTGAATTTCAGGATGGTTTTTATCTGGCATCGGTTGGTAATAATGGGAAGAAGACTGCAGCTCTTGTTTATGGTATCGGCAAGAAACGTTTGGATACAGGTGCACGCCTTTTTTGCATAACACGACCAAGCACAGGTCGAAGTGCAAAACTGGAAACAATTGATGAGTTAACAAAACGTTTTCATCTTGCCACTCCTGAAGAAACTGAGCAAGTTTGGAAAGATTTGTTTGAAGGTTAGTAGATTGCTATCATTTTTTGTATTTCGGCTCAAATTTTGTCAAGAGCATGTCTATCGAATTGCTTATTGGGATATTGGGATAGTGCCGTTCTTCCAACTTTACTCAGTTTTCAGGTTCGAACAAAACCTGTCAGCATAATTATTTTCATGGCCGTTGCCGGAACGAAGCGATGGGTGTATACTGTGAAACTGGACGGCGGACCCGAACTTACTTTGTTCTTTCGGGTTCGGTGCTCTCGGTATGGCCGATCGTTGAAGAAGTATTGTCCAGCGGTATGTCTGCTCGAGAAATCAGACGATCACAGCGGATGCAGATAATCCGTGTCAGAACACCACAAGATCACAAAATCGTTGGTATGAATTTTTGCTTTATCTCTGAATAAAAGGCCATATTTTTAGTTAATACTGGTGACAACGTGACATGAAACTTGGCATAAGATTTTGTTTATGCAATTATGTTTTTGAAGGCTTGTAATTTCCTACAATATTAAAATTGGTTATGTTGTTTTACATCCTAAAATTTACTAGTTTAGGATTGCTAGTATTGCCACAATATGTACGAACACTGGTTGCGCGTTTTGAGAAACACTGTGGTGGTTGTGTGGAGTCGAAATCAGCAAATACTTTAAATTAAATTGATACAGTGGTGAAGAGCTTTATGGTAAAAATGTATACGTGTCCACAGGCATTCACTTCTTTCATGGAAATAGTTCTCAGTTAAATTTTAAAATTTTTTGTCTTGTTTGTGTATTTTTTTTTGTCCTGTGTTATATGCATGTTTTTTTTTGATGATCGGTGCATTAGATTGAATCGAGTTTTTCTCCTGTTTGAGAAATTTTGAGAAAAATTGTTTTGCTTGTTTAAAAAAAAAAAAAAATTCTTGTTATTTGTGTATACTTAACAAAAGCAAGCCAGTATATCTGTTGTCTGTTGAGAAATTGGTTTATTGCTCGTTATCTTGTGAATATCTACTTCTGTTTTACGTTATTTCAATTTTCACTTTTCTTAACTAATGTATGTTTTGCGTTGTTATTGTTGACTCATTAATCTCTTTATATATTATTTTGTCATTCAGCAGTTGCCGTTGACAAAGCTTTTTTGCACATTGATGCGCAATATGTTTTCCTGTACTAATGATTTTATCAAATGAATTTAGATTTGTGTGCGATTTCTGAACATTAACAATATTTTACACTTGGCCTGAACATTCTTGTCCGAAAGAAATTTTGACTAGGATATAGTGTAACGAAATATCTTGGCATTAGTAGTCAAAAATAGTCCGTAACATTTAATATTTTGCTCTGTACATATTGAATTAGTGGAAATGTATTGCTAGGATAAACTTTTACACAAAAACTTCTATCACTGAGCTAAAATTGAGATTTAGTCCAAACAAAAGGCATATTTGCTGAAGAGTAGTAGTATTTGAATTCTCTCATATTTTGATGAGTCTCGTATGAAGTGTGCTTATTCAGGCGAAAAAAAGGAAAGACACTACAATTGTTAGCCTAAATGCATTGTGAATTTGAGTACTCGATAAGATTCTCAAATATGACATATATTCTCATCTATTCAAACAACAACAACAAATCTTCATTTTAGTAAAGAATCGTTTCGATTAATTCTGATAGAGAAGAATGGAAAATTTATATATATGCAAAAAGGGAAAAACTTGCCTGGAGGTTGGGGGGATCGAACCCCCGCCCTCTCGCATGCAAAGCGAGCGCTCTACCACTGAGCTAAACCCCCAACCGATGATGTTGGAGTATAAATAATTTTTATTCCATATTAAATTTATTTTTATTAGATTGAAATTTGTATTAAATTTTTTGTTTGCTTATTTGCTTAATTCTACCTACAAAATTAATATTTAGTCTAAATGAAATATATTTGTTAGAGAGTTTAAAAACTTTCATGTAAATTTAATTTTCATCATGTCAATTGAAATAATTGTAAAATTTGCAAAATTAAAATTAACATTATAAATTAGCTAATTATGTGTTATTAGAATGGGTAAAAAGGTTTTCTCTTTGTTTCTTTCTTTCGTTTTCCCTCCTCCCTTTCTCTCTGTGTTATTCTAATTACAAAGATTATTATTATTATTATTATTATTATTATTATTATTATTATTATTATTATTATTATTATTATTATTATTATTATTATTATTATTATTATTATTATTATTATTATTATTATTATTATTATTATTATTATTATTATTATTATTATTATTATTATTATTATTATTATTATTATTATTATTATTATTATTATTATTATTATTATTATTATTATTATTATTATTATTATTATTATTATTATTATTATTATTATTATTATTATTATTATTATTATTATTATTATTATTATTATTATTATTATTATTATTATTATTATTATTATTATTATTATTATTATTATTATTATTATTATTATTATTATTATTATTATTATTATTATTATTATTATTATTATTATTATTATTATTATTATTATTATTATTATTATTATTATTATTATTATTATTATTATTATTATTATTATTATTATTATTATTATTATTATTATTATTATTATTATTATTATTATTATTATTATTATTATTATTATTATTATTATTATTATTATTATTATTATTATTATTATTATTATTATTATTATTATTATTATTATTATTATTATTATTATTATTATTATTATTATTATTATTATTATTATTATTATTATTATTATTATTATTATTATTATTATTATTATTATTATTATTATTATTATTATTATTATTATTATTATTATTATTATTATTATTATTATTATTATTATTATTATTATTATTATTATTATTATTATTATTATTATTATTATTATTATTATTATTATTATTATTATTATTATTATTATTATTATTATTATTATTATTATTATTGCCAACAGCAATTTATTTTAAAATTGAAATGATAACAAGAAAATAATTTGAATTTATAATACTCACTTCTTGTTAAATATTTTCAATTATGTGTATTTGTATCATAAAAATGATTTATTGCCAATTTTACATTATTCATATTTCTTCCCTCTCTCTCTCTCTCCCTCTCTCTCTCTCTCTCCTTTGTTTCCAAAAAAAAAAAAGAAAAAGGAAAAAAAATGTGAAATTAAATTCTTTATGTGATATTAAAAATTGATAATATTAGATAAATTTTCAATTGGAATATTCAATTTTAATTTTTTTTCTTATTTGAAAAATGCAAAATTATTTGAGTTTGTAAACAAAAAAAAAAAAAATGTTTTTCTCTTATATTTTATCTGTTTTTTTTTTTTTTCATTATACTTTTTCTTATTTTATTCAAACAATAATTTCTCACAAAAATTACAACAATACAATAATTCTCGATCAATTAATGAAACAAAAAAAAAAAAAAAAAAAAGAAAGAAATAGCACAAATATAAAATTTAAACTTTTCTTTTCATAAAATATAAATTAATTCATTTTTACTATTTATGCCAATATCACTAGTTTATTTTGTTCAATTCATTTACTTTTATTGCAAAAAATTGCATTTCTCTCTTAGCTGAATTAATTTTAATAAAAATATTTTATTATTACTATCATTTATCATTATTATCAATTATTAATTATGATTATCAATTACTAATTTACCTATTACAATTATAGTTTTTTATTTTAACTTCAAAATTTTTTCTTTCATTTCTGAAATTTTACAAATTTTTTGAAAGATTTGTTACTTTTGATGATAAAACAATCCCACTAATGTTATCAATATCATATTTTCAAACAAATATGATTAATATAATTTATTTTACTTTTTTATTAGAAAGCAAAATAATTAACTTTTTTAAAAATACCATTTTCTTTTTTCATTTTTATTTCTTCCATGTGAAAAAAAAAGATAATTATTATCAAAATAGCGATGAAAAAAATAATTTTATTTGTGTATTTTTATTAAATTTGAAACAAAACAACAATAACAATAGTTTGACCAAATAGACGACAACAACAAATAATACAAATCAATTGTTTATTGTCTAATTGTTTATGTATATTAACTAAACTAATTGTTTGTTTGTTTGGTTTTTTTTATTGCTTGTATAAGCATACATTTGCTAATTAATTAAATAATTAATTAGCATTGTATAAATATTTAATGGAGAATTTTACAATATTATTAACTAAATATATTTCATTAAATTATCACAATATGCATTTCTTTACTAATAGTGTAAACATCAATTATAGAATAAATAATGCTGACAAGAAAAAAAAAATAAATAAATAAGCACCCAAATAATGATATTATGCAATTGGAAAAAAAAAAAGTAATCAAAATATTGATAAAGTAATTTTTGCTAAAGCGCTAATTAAATTAAAGTACTAATTAAATCTAATTTACTCATTGATAAATAGGCACAAAAAAAAAATTTATGACAAACAATCAAATAAATACAATAAATATTTCATTTTAATCTTCAATAATTATTGTTTGTTGTTTTTATTGTTTGTTGTTGTTGTTGTTGTTATTGTTGTTATTTCAGATTCATCAAAATTGGTAATATTTGTTTTTGGTCCAAGAAATAATTCACTGCCAGAAATTTTCATATTTGTATCAAATTTTTCATTTACTGAAATATCGAAAAAATTTTATAGAGAATATACATTCATAACTAAGCTAATTATGATATGCTAATTAAGATTAAAGTAAGTAAAGTAAGATAAAGTAATAAATTTACTTTAATCAATGCTATTATAAGGAAAATAATTCATTAAGCATTAATAATGTATTATTGAGAATTGTGATAAATTGAGAAAGAAATAATAAATTAAATTAATTTTAGATTATCAAAATAAATATAACCAAATAATACTTCGATGCACTTTTTTGTTTGTACCCTTTCTTTTTTCCTTTTTCTTTCTTTTTTTTTAAAAAAAAAATTTATCAAAAAATCAAAATTTTAGAAACAAAAATTTAGTACAAAAAAATTTTTTTTCATAAATAAAAAAACAATTTAAAAAATTAAAGAAAAAAATATGGAAATTTTTGAATAACAGCATTTATCACCATAGTAATTTTCAATTTTCTCCTAAAATTTATTTCAAAGTCTTATAAATAATAAATTAATAATTTGCTAAAATTTAAATGAAAAAATTTATTTAAATTTATTTTACATTGTTTTCTAACAAATTTATGGTTTAGATATGAAAATCAAATTGTAATTTCAATATTTTTTTTTTTTTTTTTTGATTACATTTACTTTTATTACATTTGTAAGCCCAAAAAAAAAGCAAAAACGAAAAGCAAAGTTAAAATTTTTAATTATAAAAAAAAAGAAAAATAAATTTAAAAAAATTTTTCTCCCATTTGCATTTTTGTTTTCTTATTGTTTTAGTTAATGTATCATTGATATCTTTTAACAATATGCAAATTTCTTCCTTTCTTTTTTTTTTTTTATCATAAATAAATAGTTTAGAACAAATATAAACAAAAATTATACTTTTTAAAAGTACTTTCTTTGTTTATATTTAATCTTTGATAAAAATTATAAATGTGCTAATTATAAATTTTGAATTAATCAATTAATCATTAAAATTTGCATAAGCATTACTTTACCATAATT